AAAGAACAGAAAATTTATCCCATTTCACATTGTTGTTGATTTAAACCAACAAATTTTGATTGGTGACGAATGTGAAAATATTGTTCATGTCATTGACAAGGATGGTAACTTTGTCCGTTATATAGAACATCCATGTTGTGGAGGCATTTGTATTGATACCGATCACAATCTTGTTGTAGGAGAGTATAAAAATGGTCTAATCAGAATCATTAAGTATTAAGAAAATGAGTAAAGTCAACCCTTGGAAAAAATAACGCAACTTCAGGATTGTTGCAGATGTACTTATTTATATCCGTTTTATTCGATTCTCATTTGAGAGCTACATAATGAATAACTTGTTACATGTAATTATTTTTTCTTTTGCGATAATCAGATATTAAAGAATGCTAGATAATGGCTCTCTCTTTTTCTCTCTCTCTCTATCTTACATTAATAAGGTAATATTATTCAAGAGGGATTAAGGTTTTTAAGAAATATTAACCAAATGAAACAAATAAAAAAAATATTAAAAAAAAAAAAGATCAAAGGAAACGCATTTTCATGCATGTAAACATACCCCCCCCCCCCCCAAAATAATAATAATTGTAGCTATTTGTTCTTTTGTAAACCTTGAGTTAATCAATTTCATTAAGTACACCAATAAAATGTAAATAAAAGTATCTAGAAAGAAAAATGTGTTTAAAGTCAGTATTCGTTGAACGGTATACAGGAAATTTTTCGCCCCCGTTTTATATTCACCCTTTCCGTCCTCGTGAGAAGTGTGCGAATTTAAGAACACACTATAACTTCTTAAACAGAACTTTGAGCGAATTTAAAATTTGGCAAAATTGTTAGGAAGGGCGAAAATGACTTGGGACCAAAAAAACCCTGTATACAGCATAGAAGTTGCAAGTTTTTTGCTTTTAATGTGAACCTTATCGTGATATGATTTACGATAATACGATAATTTTTTCCTAATATATTAATTTCTATTTTTTTTAAATTTCTATGACAAAATGCATTTGTTTTATATTAAACTTGAGTATTTAATTGATTTTCAAATGATTGTTTTATGAACTTCAAATCAACTTTTGTTTTTTTTAATCAGTTCTATATGTTAAAAAAAATCGGGAGAGCCATTACATCCTCAAAAAAAATTAGGTACATTAAATGTTGGAAACCGATAACATTGATGAAGAATATTCAATATTTTGTAGTTAGAAAAAAATGTTATAAGATAGGACTTTTTAAAACATAATTTTAAAAGGTACAAGTAAAAATATAAAAAAAAAAATATTCTGTCTCACAAAAGAGAAAATTGTAACGATCAAACATAGTATTTTCAGCTATTTTTTTATTTTTCTCTTTGCCTGTCTTTTGTAACTCAGTGACTAAGGTTACATGACGTAATAGTTGTGTGGTTAAGACGTGATAGCTAAGCGGCGTCATACTGAAACGTGCATTAACATGAATTTCAACAGCATATTTAAGAAACGTTGGCAGTTTAAGTCTGTCAGAATGGTTTATTTACTCTCTCTATTTTTGTCGCATATCTGCGGTGATTTTCTTTGATCTTTCTGTGGTGATATATCCCATATCACATATGCGATAATACTTTCCACGCAACTTCATATATCACTGCAGGAGGCAGAAATCAGGTCATGAGAAAAAAAACTGATTTTATTTCACAAGTTCATAACCACAGAAAAATGAACATGTATGGCTATTTCTTAGCCTTTAACTAAATTAAAATACATGTATTTAACTCGGTTGAAAGTTCCCAGTCGTTCAAAAGATTAATCCATTTTGAAAATTTGAAAGTTACGGTAAAATCTCCAAACTTTTTATTTTTAAACTCCTTGCTATTTGTTTCTGTGATTTCATATATATCGAGTGCCTGGCTCAAAAATAAATTGTCAAAATCTTCAAACTCAGTTAAAAACTCAAAGTCAAATTCACTAAGAACGTCCAACATGTTGGAGAGCTAGCTTGAATTAATGAATCTTTTTTTTATTATTGAATTTTGATACTCTCAATGAAATTTACATCAACAGACATGCGACAAGTTGCTTACATCATAGATGCCTCGTACTATTGGTTATATCGTTTTCATGGGGCGTGGAAATCTCGGGCGCTCCGCGCCCTCGATTTCCACGCCCCATGAAAACGATATAATCAATACTACTCGTCTTCTATGATGTAACTTATACATAACAGACAAACGAGTATTCCTTTACAACACTGTTGTTTGAGGAAGTTTTGTCGTGTTATCACTTCAATTCGTTAAATACTATACATACGGTAGTTGAAAATGTACATTAGAAAATATATAAAACTCATTAAATATGAGGATCATATGTACATGAATTAGATAAACAAGTGTTTATGGGGCATCTGTAGATTCTTTCTTATATAAAAATATTCATGATGTATGTATATTGTGTATTTCTCTTCAATCAGTTTATAGGTTTTTACGGTACATTGTGAAACAAATAATTAGATAATGATTCATTATGTCAAATCGGGGACTAAATTGCAAAAGTCTTTCTTGTCTTGCATATCTTCGAGAAGAAGAAACATTATCATACCATACCGAGGAAACAGGTTAAAAACAGATGAATATATTCTTGTCTCTGCCATGTGGCCAATTGGCCTTTTGTACTCTTTAAGGACATATGATACAAACACATTTCTTCTTTAAAATCGATTAAATATCATGTCACAAGTTTAGAAAAGTGGATGGTTCTTATAATCTTTTCTTGGAAGAACTGGAAAATGAAATAGATTTGGAAAATTTAAGTAATATTTCTATGAAAAAACAAATATAGACAAATCACATTCAGTAAAGGTTTACAGGTGAAAATAAATTTCAGAATATGTTATCCTGGCGTTAAAAGTGTACTATTAACCTTAGAAAAATATACCAAGCCAGGTGAATTTTAAGAGATAGATCGAAATGACAAGAAATTGGCAGTATCACATAGACTGATTTTTAGCATTTAGCTTTTCCTTATAAAATTCACCTGGCTGGGTATGTTTTTCTTAAGTTTATATTACACTTTTAGTGCCAAGATAACATATTCTGAAATTTATTTTCACCTGTTAACCTTTACTGAATGTGATTTGTCTCTATTTGTTTTTTCATAGAAATATAACTTATATTTTCCAAGTCTTTTTTACGTATTCCAGTTCCTCGGAAAAAAAATTCTAAGAACCATCCATTTTTCTAAACTTGTGACATGATATTAAATCTTTTTCAAAGATAAAATTTGTTTGTATCATCTGTCCTTAAGCTCCCAAAGCTTTTAATGATTTGTTCATTGAAAAAAATAAATTGTAAAAAAAAAATAGAATATGTATCTTGATTATTTCTGAGACCATGAGAAAAAAAGGAAAAATACTACTATTAAATGACTAAGTAAAAATACTTATAAGAAATGGTACTTATTACAAGAAATTTTAAACATTTTAGCTCCGTCTAACATTAGTCTGAGGCTCGTTATGTACATAAACTAAGAAGGATAACTACAACTCGCAAATTTCTACTTAACATGGAATGGATTATATCCATTGCCTGTTAATGACCTTGTAGCAAGGAATGTTAATCCAATTATCAGATTAATTGAACTAACGAAAAATAAATGATTTTCCTTCCCAGGAGTTTCAGATACATCATTTTTGATCGATTCATATTGCATTTAATTTATTCTTTAAAAAATTTTTTTTGTTCAATATGATTTGCTACAAAAAAAATTTGCTAAAAATAGAAATTTAATCCCGAATTTCATCCCGATATTCAAAAAAATATTGTACTGAAATGTAAAGACAAGACATATATAGAATATCACACTCTAATTTTGATCTCGGACCTGGGATTGACCCCGAGAGGTGGTATCGGCCCGAGCCCGCAGGGCAAGGGCCGAGACCACCCGAGGGGCCAATCCCAGGTCTGAGATCAAAATTAGAGTGTGATGTTTTTTATATCATATATCTAAAACACAACAAGATTTACGTTTAAAAATATTTATCACTATTAACAGAAGCAGAATACAGCATTATATACACTATTTTCAAATAGTTGAACAAGTTTTATTCCTTCAAGGGACATTGATTGTGATATTTCCGGTAATGTTAGCATTTTGAAACAAGCTGAAACTTCTCTCAGATGTAATTTTCATTCCATTGCTTGTCATGGTGATAGGAAGATCAACCACGGAAACCAACTGCTGTTGTTCTGCGGTGTTTACATGTGCAGACGTCTCGATCAACTCCACTGCTTGGCTTAAAAATTCATCGCAGTTGTCCTCCATCGAGTCACATGGTTCTTGATTATCATTTGAAGCTGCAGTGTTGGCAGTTACCTCAGACAGTACTTTGGACATTTCTTTTTGCTTTTTGATTGGAAGATGACTGTAGTTATTTATTGATTGGACGTTCTTATGTCCTGTAATTTGCATTACTTCAGTTGGCTCGAACCCTGCTTCCAGTAAGTTTGTGACCGTGGTCTTTCTGATACTGTGGTTTGTAAGACGCTTGTCTGTGATTACAGCTGAAATTAAAGCATTTTTAAGCTGTTAATTCTAGCAAGGTATCTTTTTTTGTTAAGAAGGAAGTGTAAAGTTTAGCTACATATTGATGATTGATATAGACGGTACCAACCTGCATTAGTCATGTTGCTCACAATCTTTCCGAGACTATTTTTTCCCATGGGTTGCTTCTTATACCAAATGTCATCCGTAGGATTTTGTTTAATGGAAAGATAGAATCTGCTTTCGGGCTCTAGCATCTCCGAAGGCCTGTGTCGCGTGAATTCTTTATAAAGATTTACAGGGCACATAGAGTCTCCTGTAACAAAGAATTTTAAAAAATTAAATACAAGTAGTTATGTAGATATATTCTTTGATTTTATTACTTTTAAAAACACTATCATTTTTTTACCTCTTTTTTCATACATCTTTGGAAGGAATGGTCTGCTCTCTCCATTTCCGTGCCTTGTTTTTGTTGCCCTCTCATTGAATTCCAGGTACTCTGTCCCTGTTGAATCTGTTTTTAATTCAATGTCGCCCCAAAGCATCTATTCATGTTCATGTCTTCCTCTCAGTCTAAAGTGCATGGTGTTGTTTATGTACATGGTATTTATCAGTGACTGTGGATTTGCTAGTAAAAGAGAAAAAATCAAGATATTTTAAACATTTACTTTACGGAATTTCAAAACCCGTCCGTTTACATTCTCTGATTTAATAGGATCGACTAAATAAGAGTTATTGGACTTTGTTGACATAACATCAGCGTTCGAGTTCGAGAAGAGGATTATTTTCTGGATTTGTTTAAAGTAAGTTCGAATGTTTTTTTTCTTACCTTTACCCAACTGATTAGACTGAATGAGGCGCTGAAATTCGTCGGTGGAAAGTGGCTCAGCTTATCTCTTTCTGTTTCCGAGGCCCTGGGATTTGTGGCTTTATCGTTTGGACATAAGAACTTCCCTTGCGTGTCCAAATAGATGTGATTCGACAATATTGTGATCATAACTGTTGTCTCGTAAGTATCGGGAGAAACTTCCAAGATAGCCTCGTAATGTGTCTGGCTCGTATTCGCCGCCGTCTGGTTTTCTCACGGAGAGAAAGAATCTCGCCAAATACATGTTAAGTTCCTTTGGTGGTATTTCGTAAATATTCCTTGACTCTTGACAAACACTATCCAGCCAGTCATAAAGAACCTTCATGTGCCCATCCGTTTTCCTAGACGTATTCTTGTTTCGTTTACTTTTTACAAATTCTGTCCTTTCACTCTCAGAGACTGTTTTGAAACGAGATTCTAGTTCAAAATTTCCATAACGCACATCGCGATCACCGCTAGGGCCAGGATTTTTTGGAGTAATTGCCTCTACATCCCCCATCATGTATGTTTACGTTATTTCTCTTTAATTAACGTTGATTAATTTAAATTAATGACGTGCTATTGTTCTAAAATACGAGTTGTTGCTGGGGTTACCTCCCTTTGCTTAGATACGCATTACGGTTTGGTGCTGTTTTTAAAAAAAACGTTTTCTCTAATTTATGTGTTAAAATTAAATTTTTAAAAAGTGTTAATGGGTGTTATAGATGATTTATTCATTTTTATATTTTTTCCACATAAAATTTTGCAAAAACATAGAAAGTTTTTAGAGATTTAACAAATTAAAATTTGAGGGCGAGACAGCCTCTTGACAACGGGCCGAGACAGAGATATCTCAGCCCCGAGGGCGAGACAGCCCTAGTTCCCAGATGCTGTCTCGCCTAGTCCAAAACGCCTGTATCAGGGCTGATACACTACTAGGTATATGATATAACATTATATTCAAAATGTCAATTGCATGTCCTATTAAATACGAAAGTACGTTTGAAATCAAAAATTTCAATTTAGAAAACTTTAAACAATTTGCTTAAAATTTTTAAGGGTCTTATTCTAATTCAAATAAAAGTCCTTATCTGCTTTTTAACATACATTTTCTTCCATTAATAATAATTTTATCACTCTTAAGTCCCCTAGCTTTCGATAGAACAATAACAAATAAAACTCTTTACTTGATCTTTAACATACATTTTCTTTCATTAATAAGAACTTTATCATCCTTACGTCCTGTAGCTTTAGATAGAACATTGAAATTTCACGTCGATACCTCCTAAAACGAAAGAATAAATCATGGAATATTTCTAATGCATATTCCTTTAGAGTAAAGTTGCAATAAAAATATTTTTAAATAAAATGCATCTTTGCAAAATTATTAGGGCCCCGCAAGGATTTGAGGGTGCCCTATAGTAATCACTCTGTCTGTCCGTCTGTCTGTCTGTCTGTCTGTCCGTCCGTCTGTCATTCTTCCGTCCACAAATTTTCTGATTTTCTTAATAACTTTTTTTATGGTTTCCCAATTTAGATCAAATTTGGTATGGTAGTTTAATAGGCAGAAAGACATTTTGATGCTCAGTTTGTTTTTCTGTGTCCCCTGGTTAAGAGCTGGGGTGTTGGGGTAGATTCCCTAACTTTATATAGGAATGCATTGGCAAAGAGAGAAAACTGCTGAAGATGTTCCCATTGTAAACTGAATGCTGCTATGGAATTAATTAGCTTTCCTCTTGAAGAAAATCCGAAGCATTATCTTTATCTGTCACATTAAGATGAATTACTACATCTGTCTGCAAATGAAGTTTGTTTTGAAGTTAAGTCAATTTGAAATGCTATGAACACTCTGATATGTGGATTTAAATATGAATGTTTGAAGTTTTTTTTTTTTGAAAAATAGTTATGATTTTTTTTTAATTCAAAGAAACAAGAAATAGATTAAAGAAGAAGTTTCTTTTATTTTTACTTTTTTCCCTTTATGTAACTTCAAGAATATCATTAATTTTTTAGGTAGATCGATGTATAAAAACCCCATTTGATCATTAATATTGAAAACGTTCTCATTGTAACTTTACAAGAAAATGATGAGAAAGGTACCATTAATCCGTACAATTAATCCCTTGGGATTAATTATCTAGCCTGCAGAAAATTTAGTAGACTTTTCTTTATCTGTCACTTTAAGATTAATGAAAACTTTGTCTGCAACTGCTGTTTGTTTTGAAGTTAAGGTCAAGCCTTCATGATATTTGCATTCATTGAAAGCTGGCATTTTATATAACATAAGCTTCATTATTGTTTAAATATACATACAATGTTAAGTTGTTCTTTACTGCATAATGTAAATACATGTACAAGGATATTATTCACAGGTTTTTGAATATTCAGGAATTATCTTGAAATTTTAAGAATACAGTTGCTGTTGCTTATTCTTCGTACATTTTTTAATCACTCCGTAAGCTGCAACCTTATTATTCTACCCCATGGCGGGGCCCTTGCTGACTGGTCAGTTTTCTAGTTTTTTAAAGTAAAAACATGGCTCTAATGAGTGTTGATTTCTCTTGATTCTTACAATATAATACTCATTTTGAAATAAGAACAAAAATACAAACTTGCATATGTAAAATGATATGCAAAAAAAAATCCTTTCGTAAAGATATGAAGCCAAACATGATTATGTTTTCCCGTTCTCACCAACTCATTTGAAACTCACGCAAAGTGAATCCTAATAAGAAAATGTAGAAAAGATATTGATTATTTTTCAAGTAATTATTCTTATATTAAATGTTTGTGAGTTGAGAAGAAATCATAGAAGGGGCAGATACACCTTAGCTCTCACGTACATACCACCTCGTACCCGACTTTGTTAAACCTCTTTTTAGATATTTATCATCCTTGGATTTAATATCCTTACATGAATGATTAAACTGATTAAACTGTTTACTTTTTGATCTTTTAAAACACAACACCTTGCAGTTTGACACGTATACGGCTTCTCGTGTATTAAACTCCCCACGGTGTATTAAGTTGAAATAAGATGCAGGTAT